ATTGATTCACAAATGCTTGTATTGATGCATGGTGGGTTGAAGAAGAGATACGGGCTTGAGAGAGCATAAGAGAGCTGGGCGCGTTATCTCCTTGACCGGCTTGGCCTTCACGTGGGCAAAATTGCGTTGCCCCTTCCTTTTGAATTTTTTATTTGCAAGTGGCTGCTCTCTTTTCCTTTCATTTGGCATGGCATCTTTATTTTTTGATTTTCTCTCACTCTTCTTTCTTCTTCTTCTTTATCTCAGCACCCGTGCCCCTCATTTTTCGTCTTCTCCTTCAACTCCTTCTTCCCTCTTCAAGATTCAAACCCGTGGGTACTATGCATCAGTACATAAGTCATATTTCGAAAGCTCGGATCAGAAAACTTCCTTGATGAAAGTTGTTCATCTGCTCGAGTACTACAGCTTGTAAAATTTGTAGGCTTTTTTGAATTTTTATGATACCTCAAAGTGGGTCTGCAACTTCTGCATTCATCCATGGCTGGTGAGTTTATGCAGATTCTGCTTCTGCATATATATGTCTTTAACTTATGATGCTTGGATGATTGCACTTCCTTCATAAAACTTGCTCGAAATTATGTTGTTTATAACATATCCAAAATTGAGGATCATCCACCCATTCTAGTGCTCTCTGCCTTCATTTTTCTGAAGCATGTTCATGAGTTGATGTTGATACCTTTGTTGCATGCTTGTTTTCTATGCTTGAATGCTTGAGTTCCTCTGTATTTCCCAACATTTGTGAACTATAAATTGAATTCTGAGGTTGAGCTTTTGATTTAGGATTCTAGCTTGGTGATAAACAAGAGTCATACAAGCTCACTTGGGTATGCATGCCAAGTGTTTGTCAAAATATCTCAAAGTAGTTTGATGGCTGTTTTTTGAACTTTTGAAATGTTTCTTTTCGAATCTGAGTTGGAGCTTTTGAGACATAAAAATGGACTTCTCAATGTCTTGCATCACTTGAAGAAAAAATGAATTTTCATTGGAATTTCAAAGTAAGGGTTAAGCTGCTGGAACTGTGCAGTTCCTGCGGCATGGGCTGTTTTAGGAATATGTTTGACATGCTTCCCTAGCTCGAAATGCAACGAAATTTTGGAAAAACGAAGCTTGATATGTCTAGTTCTAATCTGGAAAGTTTGGGACTTGTTGGTTGTAAGCTTGATTTCTAGTGATTTTTCAAAGGTGGGATGTTCTAGCTAGAATGGTGGGAAAGCTTGTGTATAAGTTTTGCTTGGCATGCTGCTTTTTGTTGAGAATTTGGCATGTCTTTTCTGTTGGCATTGAGTGCTAATCTGAGTATTGCTAGAGCATGTCCTTGAGCAATATTGTCGTGAGAGCATGATGTTGAAAGGTATTGTCGTAAGAGCATGAATTCTTCAATTTTCTTGAAATGCCCGAATTGCTTGGAATGCTTGAATGAAATGAAATTTCTTGGCATGTGGATTGGTATCATGCCCTGTGAATTTTGTCAAATGCTTGATAGATGAGTTTGCTTGCACTTTGAGAAAATTATGCTTCCAGCGCCTCCCTTTGTGTACTGCTGCTTTTTATTGAGAATTTGGCATGTCTTTTCTGTTGGCATTGAGTGCTAATCTGAGTATTGCTAGAGCATGTCCTTGAGCAATATTGTCGTGAGAGCATGATGTTGAAAGGTATTGTCGTAAGAGCATGAATTCTTCAATTTTCTTGAAATGCCCGAATTGCTTGGAATGCTTGAATGAAATGAAATTTCTTGGCATGTGGATTGGTATCATGCCCTGTGAATTTTGTCAAATGCTTGATAGATGAGTTTGCTTGCACTTTGAGAAAATTATGCTTCCAGCGCCTCCCTTTGTGTATGAGTACCTTTCCAGCGTTTGATTTTGGCTAACATATTCTCTTGTTTAGAAGCTCCAGAGCATGAGAAAGCATGAGAAGTCTAATTTTCTAGGATTTTGATAGCATGAAAGTGAATTTTATTATGCTTCAATAGTGATTATGCTTCCGGCACCCCATTTCTGTGTATGAGTTCCCTTCCGGCACCTGATCTGGCGAATGTACTCTCTTGTTTCTTTTTCAGGCTTGATTGAGAGGTTCCAAAGCATGAGGAATGCCATCTTCTTACTGATTTGCTGGGAACTTGCTAGAATAAAGGTGAGTTTTTGGTTACTTTCACAAATGTAATGATTTTGTTGAATTGTTGCAAGGATAAATTGAGCTTTGGGGGTTAAGGAGCATATACACTAGCATGATGTTTGAAATAGGGCAGGGGCTAAGAAGATTTGAAATAAAGCAAGTGCCAGAAATTCTTTGCTTGTAGAGTAGGAGCTGGAAGAATGTAAGAAAATATGCTTCTGGCACCTCTGTTTTTTTTTTTTTTCACGAATACCTCTCCAGCATCTGTATCTTTTTTTAAGACTTGATTTAGAGGTTCCAAAGCATGAGAAGAACAAGCTAGTCGTTGAGGTCACCTCAAGTGTTCTTTTAGAGGTGCAATGAGGTTGTTTAATTGTTGTAAGGATGGATTGAAATCGGGTAGAGGCTAAGAAGGTTTGAAAATAAGGCAAGTGATGAATGAATGTATATAGCTCGGACTTGGTTGAAGATGTGAATAATGTTGAAT